GATGTGTGGTCTGCCTTGTGCTGTCTACGCTTCACCGTTGCCTTGCTGGATATCCCGCTTGGGTCACATGCTGTTCATTATGTGTTATTACGTTTGTTGTGCAGTCTGGTTGTGGTCGTCGTGTTGCCTTGTGCTTCGTCGCACTGCTTCCAAGCTGTCCATTCATGTGTCGTGCCTTTTGGGTCCCTTGCTTGTGGGTCGTGTAGTGTGGTGGTCTTGTGTATGTTGCTTGACCGTCTCACATCACAGGTGAACACCGCAGACCATTGGTTCCCACCACCCAATGAGCCAGGGAGTCACTCCGTCGAACATCCGTCATCACCGACAGGCAACACAGACGCCCCGAACCAAGCAAACCCCCTAAGAGTGCAGTTTGCACTCCAAACGAGGGACCACCGACTGTTTGGCACTACTTAAGGGTGCTCAGTTGGGCACACAAGAAAACTTAGAAAAAATCAGAGGGAGGACAGACAACAGAAGAAAGACAGACAAACAAAAAATTGATTGTGTGTGTGTGTGTGTGTGTGTGTGTGAGTGAGAGAGAGAGAGAGAGAGAGAGAGAGAGAGAGAGAGAGAGAGAGAGAAAAGTAATTCGCGTACGCGTGCTCGTGTGTGTGTGTGTGTGTGTATGTGTGTGTGTGTGTGTGTGTGTGTGTGTGTGTGTGTGTGTGTCTGTGTGTTTGCAGCGGGCCTTCATCTGCCCTGGCCTATAGCCAGGGCCTATTTGGCTATTTGCCCAGTTCGGTCTGTGGGACCAGGCCGTGGCCTGACCCCACACGCCGTGTGCTGTTCTAGTCCTGCCCGGTACCACTGTCGGTACCAGACCAGTCCAGTCAAGTCAGTCAGTCCGCTGGGGATATACCCCAGCAGTTGTCTGTTTTTTGTCATTCTTCACTTTTGCAGATCTTGGAGTACGTGCGTGTGGAGTCTGCGTCGGAGCTGCGCTGTCCCTTTCAGCTCCATCTCTACCTCCTCCTTCGTCCACCCCTCTTCTCCATCCTGTTGGATCGCCATCCCGACAGGTCTGGCACACTGATATCAGAGCAGGCGTTTCTCCCTGCTCCCCTCCCCCTTCCACCCCCTTCATCATTTCACACGTGTTTTGAGCAAAAAAACTCGCCACTTCACGTTTATTATGATACTGGTGCACATTTTTAATCATAACGTCTGCATCCGGTGTCAGAATATTTTCATCTTTAGCTTGTTGGAAAACTCTCGACGATTCGCTTCCAACGAGCTATAGACTGTTAATTTTGTGCACTAGTGTTGGAGCTACAGTCGTTCAAAGATCGCAATGTTTTTTTGCCAGCTCCAAAACTGTGCGCGCTCGGTTCTTTTGACGAGAGCTATTTGTACAGGCTGCGGATGAAGTTGCGCCATACATCGTTAGAAGCGCTTTCAAAAAATATTTCCAACAAATCTTTTTTTGCCAAATTCTGCCCAGCGGATCGAAAGTTATTCGCAAAAAACGGATTCCCCCTCTCTCTCCTTTCTCCTTCCCCGTGGCCACGAGAGTGCCACGTGGCAGCACTTGAAGACCCCCTGGCTAGGGGGCTGCACTACACGTGGAGAATGTGAGTTTGGGAGATCAAGATCTCTCCCAAACTTTCCACTTGGAAGATCTTATCAGTCTAATAAAATCTTTTTGCCGTGCTGGCAGCTTGTAGCAGTTTGAAGACCCCTTCTTCCAAGGGGTTGCTTGAAGGCCATTGGATCTTGGTCATCTTGTTGCTCTTGGCTAACCAAGAGCGTGGTATCATTGCTCTCCACTAACCTACTATCCCCCAACCCCTTTCTCTCTTCCCCCATCATCTAATCACCTTTTCTCCCCCCTCCCTCTCCACCCATCTTCCACAACCTTTTTCTCTCCTCTCCTCCCCACTCACCATTTCTCACTAATCTCATTTACTCCTCTCCACCTTTTTCATATCCTTCTCTCTCATTCTACCACCCTCTTCTCCTCCTTCCCTCCCCCAACTACAATCCCATCATCTCCCCCATCCCCCACCTTACCTTTTTCTTTCTCTTCTCACTTCTTTCTCTCTTTCGTCATCACTTTTTCATCCCTCCCCACACCCAACTCCGAATTTTTCTGTTTTTTCTTCTTTTCTCTTTCTCTTTGATGTAAAATTTTTCTTTTCCTCCAAAAATCCGAATCATCTTATTCCCTACCTCTTTTCTTATTTTTTATTTATTTTATTTATTCTAAAAATTCAAAATGTTTTGCGGCACCTCTATATCTTGCTAGGACTTAGTCTTTCTTTGTTGTCGGCGCACATTTTGACCCCTCGGGGGTAGCTAAGCGCTGGTCAAATTTTTCCATTCTACTTAGTCTTTTCTTGACGGCACACTTCGACCCATGGGGGTAACGAAATGCTACCGAAATTTTTGAAAAATTACAAAACTTAGCTTCTCTTCACTCTCTTCCACCTCCTTATTTATTTATTTGTTTACTCATTTATTTATTTTTCAATTTTAATTTGTGGCATTTTGAAAGTATTGTGTCCTCTTGCACTTTCCTTCCTCTTGGCACATTTTTGACCCCATGCGGGGTGGAAAAATGCTGCCAAAAATTCCAAAAAAATAAATATTCTCTCTCTCCTCACTCTTTACATTTTATTTATTTATTTATTTCTATTTATTCTCTTATTTTATTTTTTATCTCGAAAATCCACTATTTACTTTATTCTCCCTCCCCTCCATAGTTATTATTTTCTTTCCTTGATTAGGTCGCCGCTACCTTCCCCTAACCACCTAAACTCCGGTTAGGGTGTCCTTAGGGTTTTTCTAGGGTTTAGGGTTTCCCTAAACCCCCTACTCTCTACCTCCTCCCGTCGGGCATCCTGGACCCGAACGACTCCTCCCCCCTCGACCGGATTCGCGCCACCATCTCACGTGCGACCCGCTGGTCACGGGGCGAGCAGACCCACGACTACCCACTCCGCTCTCGCGGTCCGCTCCCTCTCACCGGTGGTCCTCTGTCCCCATACCACAACCCATATCTCCCCCCACCTCCCACCATGTCTACTTCTTTCCCCCCACTGCCCACGGAGAGCGCTACACCTGAGGAGATCGTCGCGGCGCAGTCCACATCCCACGTCACCGCGCAGTCAGCGGCTCCTGGTCAGGCCCATGTGGACACCATGAACCTTCATTTCGCCCTTGTAGCGATCCAGGCGCAACTCAGTACGCTTGGACCGTTGCGAGCACAAATCAATGCGCTTATCCTCGACGTCAACCGCCTCAAGGGCTCCCCTCATCGCTCTCCCTACCGCTCCCGCACCCCATCCCCTACCGGCTCCGATTCCTGCTCCCCAGGACTCCGAAGACGGAGTCACCATGGTTCCCCTTCCACTGCGGGCCAGGCCCAACACTCACCCTCAGCGGTGGCGAGTGCTGTTGCCGCTCAGACCACCCTGTCTGTTGCGAAAGTCCTTCCGGTCACGGCTGCCCCTACTGTCTCTACTACTGCCGTAGGTGTTGCGGTCCAGGTACCGCATTTTGGCCCAGCAGTTTCATCGACCCACACCAGTGTTGTTTCCCAGCTTCCCGCACCGGTCGCGGCAATACGGCTCTGCCCTCTTCTTCCTGCCTTCGTCCTCGCACCAGCGTTGCCCACCCTTCCTCCTCGACCACACCTTCGGTCCCCATGATGCAGGTTTGTTTTCCCTCGACCTGCTCCTCAGCCTCTTCCCTCTTACCTGGCTATTCCGGGACAGCTGCCCGCGGTTGTTGCCTCCTCGTTTGCTGGTCCATCAGCCAGCGGCCACGGCCCACAGCCTTCCCCCACCTCTGCCCCTGCAGCGGCCTCGACTTACGCCGCCGCAGTGCACTCACCTCGATCTCTCTCCCCCCGCCATCAGCACAGTGGACATCCTCTTGTACGCACCACGAACATTCCCGAGTATGATGGCACATCCCGTGTCTCTCGCTGGTTGCAGATAGCAATACGTACACTCTCTATGACGACCACCGTCAGTAGTTGTGGTGCGATGTGCTCGCAACCAAATTGCGATGTAGCCCTTCCACTGCGTGGGAGGATCATTAAACCCAGCACCTCCGCGTGGGTGAGGTCCCCACTCTGGCCGACTTCGCGACCTTCCTTCAGGACCGCTTCGGTGCCCGTCATGACGCCACCGACGCCTTAGAACACGTCACCCAGACGAGATGGTCCGGGTCCTCTGTACCGGCCGACCTGGAGCGTCACATCCGGGTGTTTCAGGACGCTTGCCTTGTTTGTGACAAGACGTTCCTACCGGAAGTCACACTCACTGACCGGTTCCTTATCAGCTTGCCGACTGACTACCGCCTAGAGCTATGGAGGCGATCATTCTCTTTCGCGGAGCAGGCATACGAGGCTGCGCGTCAGTATTAGAGGATGTGCAGTCGCTTCTCCGTCGCCCCATCCTCTTCGCAGCCAGCCGCCACCTCCCAGTCTCGGGGTACCACCCGAGGCTGCTCCTTGTTTGCTGGTCGTCTTCGTCGCCTGGCTCGACCTAGAGCGCCATTCCCTCGGCACTACAGTTCTCTCGAGTATGGAGAGGACGTCTCAGCCGAGCTCGATCCTACCATTGGGGACGCCCCCGAGGACATCGAGCTTCGGGACGTCATCCAGTACCACTTGGATGACGACACTGTCCCAATGGCCGAGCGCCTGCAGATGGTCATGTCTGCCATGGGTCGTGCACTCAGTCGGGTTGCACAGGCTGGCGTCCGCACACCCACAGTTCCTCGGATAGACCTCCCGCAGGGTTTTGTCCCTCCTCGCGGAGCTCTATCCCCCGAGGAGCGTGCCGCCCTCGAGGCCCGACGCGGCTGCCTTCGTTGCCGCCAGGATGGACACGCCTCCTCACGGTGTTCATACCACACCGCCCTCGATCGGTACGACGCTGACATTTATCATCAGCACTGATCTCAGTCCCCCCCCGGGCCCGCCCGGCCAGCCCCACCCAGCTAGCCACGGTGCAGTGTACCCCTGAGGCCTCGAACATAGCCGGCTTCCCGACCACCGAGTCGCGGTTTGCCCCTTTGGCTACCCCACCAGAGGATCCTCAGGACATGACAGACGTAGTTTTCTCTGCCCCGTCGTGTGTCGAGGTATCGTCTGCCTCCCAGCAGACCGCCGCATGTAGTGCTTCTCCCCCAAGACTTCCGACGCGTCGCGCCATTCGCACAGCCCGTTGTAGCGCTCAGCTGGCGACTCGCGATGACGTTGTGTCATCTCTCCTGGACTTGAGCATTCTGCAGGCTCGTCAGGAGCGACTCACGAGACACATCAACGTCCTGCGTCGTCTTCTCGCTCTGCTCTCTGACCCTGATCGCACCCTTCCCATCATCCCTATTCGCCTAGGGACATCTACGAGGGTGTACCGCGCTTCATGGGACTCTGGCTCGCAGGGAGATTTCGTTCACCCTCGAGTGGTTGAGGAAGCTCGCCTAGCTACCTTTGGCTCTCGCTCTCCTATCTCCGTTACCCTCGGAGATAACAAGACGCAGCGCTTATTCGATCAGACGGTCCCCGACCTCCACTTCTCCCTCACCCTCCAGCCATCGGATAGTACCCAGACGCCTAGGCGTTACCATTCCTCTGCATACTTCGACGTGCTTGAGACCGGGTATGACTTTATCCTTGGCACTCCCTGGTCTCGCCGGTTTCGTGGCACAGAGGCCGAATGGGCGACCGAGACACTCGTTCTCAAAACGAAGTGTGGTCAGACTCACCGCGTCCCGTTCATTGGAACCACGAGCGACACCCCGCCCGACCTACCTCCCCAGGACCCTCGTCCCTCAGGGTCCCACCTCGACATTGCGTTCACTTCCCCTCGTCAATTTGCTCACTTCATACGACAGGAGGATGTCACGTTCTACTCAATGAACGTCATGGATCTTTTTCGCTATGATCCACTTTGTCCCGAGGTTGAGCTCATCTCTCTGGAGCTTGATCCCCCGGATCCTTCCTCCATCTTTGCGGCTCCCATCTCTACGTCCACCCGTCAGCATGCGGATACCCCCTCCATGTCCCAAGCCTCTGCGCCGTCGACTGTCGAGTCCACACATACGTCTCGTGCCGATGCAGACGCTGAGGAACTCACACTGTTCATGGTAGACTTAGAGTCGGTCGTTCGCGACCTGATTCGAGAGTACCGCGACGTCTTTCCCCCGTATTTCTCATACAGCGGGATTCCCCCGATGCGCGGTGTTGAGCATTCTATCCAACTCATGCCTGACTATCGTGTTCACCATCAGACACCGTACCAACTCTCGATCCCAGAGGTGACGAAACTCAAGCATCAGCTTGAGGAGCTCCTTCGACTGGGTTTCATTAAACCCAGTAACTCCCTTTGGGGTGCACCTGTCCTCTTTGCTCGCAAAGTGGACGGAACTCTCCGCCTCTGCATCGACTACCGTGGCCTTAACCGTTACACGGTTAAGAACAGTTATCCCATGCCCCGCGCGGATGAGCTGTTTGACCGTCTGGCAGACAACCGCTTCTTCAAGAAGATCGATCTTCGTAGCGGTTACCACCAGATCCGCGTTGCCCCAGAGGATCAGCCGAATACCGCCTTCCGGTCGCGCTTCGGCCATTACGAGTTCACGGTGATGCCATTCGGCCTCACCAATGCACCCGCCACCTTCCAAACGGCGATGAACGATATCTTCAGGGGCATCCTTGAAGAATACGTTTTCGTATATCTGGACGACATGTTGGTCTATAGTCGTACCTTAGAAGACCATATCAGACACCTCCGCGATGTCCTACAGCGCTTACGCAAGCATGGCTTTTATGCCAAGCTCATTAAGTGCCGCTTTGCCCAGCGCAAAGTGGACTTCCTAGGACACCATGTGTCTGACCAGGGTCTCCACATGGACGACGCAAAGATCACTGCTATTGCAGAGTGGCCCGTCCCCACATCTACCAAGCAGCTTCGCAATTTCCTAGGCCTCACCAGCTACTATAGTAATTTTATCTAGGGACCTGTTCGCCGGTTCTTCGCCTTCCCGATTTTGATCGTCCCTTTATCGTCACCACCTATACGTCAGATTTTGCAGTAGGAGCTGTCCTTTCTCAGGTGTTTCCCTCTCCTCCAGATTCACCTTACCCTCATGTCCTCCTTTCCCCCCCCCCTTCTGCTGACACTGCTTCTTGACTGACGCCTACCCTCCCACCACTTCCCTCCACTGCCAGTCCTCCTGTTACTTGCTCCCCGACCATCGCGGAGGATGGGACTGTCGAGGCTCGTGCTGGGGATTGCTCGATCGCTTTCTACTCCCGTCAGCGACTGCCTGCCGAGATAAACTACACTGTCGATGAACGTGAGGTTCTCACAATAGTTTATGCTACCCGGCATTGGCATCATTATCTGCACGGGGCGCCCTTCACGGTGCGCACAGACAACTCAATTGTCCAGGCTTTCCTCACGAAGCCTAAGCTTTCCCCTCGACAGGCATGCCGGTGGCATGACTTATCCGAGTTCAGTTTCAACACTCAGGCCATCAAGGGTGAAATGAACCGCGTCGCCGATGCCTTGTCCCGTCGTCCTGATCACAATCAAGAACTCGTCCATCTTGCTGCCATCTCCATCGCCACTGTTGATCAGTCAGTGATCGACGCGTATCGCACTCAGTACCGCCACTGCCCCGATTATCGCGTCATCCACGCGACACTGCGGAGTGGCAAGACCGTTCCTTCCTACTCCCTTGGGGAGAACGGCCTTGTGTACTGGCATGGCAGATCAGGTCAGCTAGAACCACGTATCTGCGTTCCCTCCACTGGACAGCTCCGCGTCCAGGCTGTAGCAGAGTTCCATGACCAGACAACTGCCAATCATAAGGGTTTCCACAAGACGTTGGCTCCTGTTTGCCGCCTCTACGTCTGGCCGAAGTCCAAGGACTTTGTCAAAGCCTACATCCAGGAGTGTCTTACCTGCCAGGAGGTGAACAGTGTGAACCACCTTCCGTATGGGTTACTTCAGCCCCTACCCATACCTGAGGGTCATTGGCAGTCCATCTCGATGGATTTCATTGGTCCCCTCCGCCCACCCACTGAGCGTGGTCATGATGCTATCTTGGTCGTCGTCGATCGCTTCACGAAGCGTGCACATTTTTTCTCGTGCCGCTATCGCATTAGCGCTCGTGAGGTCGCCGACATCGTCTTCGACCGAGTCGTGAGAGATCACGGCTTACCTCAGAGCATCATCTCCGACCGTGACCCGCGCTTTACCAGCACATTCTGGTGACGCCTACACGAGGTGTGCGGATCCCAGCTCCGCTTCTCATCGTCTTACCACCCTTAGACGGATGGTCAGACTGAGGTCACCAACAAAACTCTCGGTAATATCCTCCGAAACTTTATTAGGGATGACCAGCAGTGGGACTTACACTTAGCCCACGCGGAGATTGCGTACAACCACGCTGTTTCGCCAGCCACGGGGATATCGCCATTCTATTGCRACCTCGGCTACCACCCTCGCGTACCCGCGGATTTCCTACGACCATCGCGGTTGCGCCCAGACACTCGTTGCCCTGCGCTTGACGACTGGATCGCCCACATGGCGGCGATTATGAAGCGCGCACACGAGAGTTTAGCCGACTCCCAGACTCGCATGGCCACACGAGTGAACCGATCACGAATGAATCATCCATTCAAAGTCGGTGATGATGTGCTCGTCGACACACGCCACTTACAGCTCGAAGCAGATACGCTTCGCAAGTTCAGGCGTCGTTTCTTCGGTCCATGCCGCATCCTTCAGGCCGTCGGTTCTGATACTGCCGCTAGTCCGGTCAGCTTCCATGTGAAGCTACCTGATTACCTTCGACAGGCTCACGTACACAATATTTACCACGTCTCCTTGCCGCGTCTTTATCACGGACCGTCTGAGCGCTTCGTCGGACGCCCTTATGAGCGCCCTCCACCTATCATGGTGGACGGTCACGAGGAGTTCGTTGTTTGCGACATCGTATCACGCCGAGTTATCGACGATACCCCTCCACGCATCGAGTACCTTGTGCGTTGGAAGGGCTACCCTAATGAGGAGGCTACTTGGGAGCCCCTCGAGCACTTGCAGCACACCCGGATGTTGGTGTGTGCATATGATCGTGCTCGTCGTGCTGAGACATCTGCTTCTACTCAGCCGACTGACCCTCTTCCTCCTCCTCCGGCTGAGGAGATTGCTGAGGACGAGCTCGCTCCCTCTGAGGCCGTTCCTCGGCCGTGGACGGTCGCCTCCGAGCGTCCACAGCGCACTCATCGTCGCCCTTCGCGTTACGATGACTGACACTCTTATCCTCTATCTTTCCCCACTGACTCACACCATTAGGTACTCCATCATCAACTCTTCTTCAGAATGTCAGCGTTTTGTGGCTCTGCTTCGACATCGACTCGACTGCTACTTCATCGACGTCATCGACGACTTCAGCTACTTTGGACGTGACTACTTCACGTCACCACCCTACCCTGTATACTACCTTGCCTCTGTCGCATTATGGTTCTCACTTAGCTGGGTCTCTTTGAGTTTGGCTCTCCCTTGGTATCGCATAGGCATTGGGACCGTAGCGTTATCTTCGCTTCCTTGCTCCCAGATCTAGCTCCCTCTCCCAGTCGGTGAGTTGTGTTCATGTTTCCCTCACCCACTGCCCTCATCACCCTAGCGCCGGCTATTGCATACCTCCAGTTCGGCATAGCTCCACCCTATTCCAGGCTCCCCTTTTCATGGTCGACCCTGCATGGTGTCACCCTTTTGTCGAGCATTACCCGCCTTRATGGTCTAWSTGTTAGGGTCATTGGTTTTGTTTCGCTACCACTCTCCCACCTTGAGCCTGATGACCTATCCCACCTTCATGTGTGACTGCCCTTAGGAGTTTCGATTCTTAGGCTGCATTCATCCCCTCTGAGACCATCCCACTCTTAGTGGTTCATCGACATGACATTATCTTGTAACATATTGCTCTTTTTTTTTCAGGACTGAGGCCACTGCCTCCAGGACTTTAGGATTGTATCATACTACATTTCATTTTCTGTTGTTAGCTAGGATATGTATACCGGACATTTGTTTTTCTTTTGACATTATGTAGCGTAGGATGCATCACATGGACTCTGCATGGAGCTTGCTCCGCATCATAGATTTCTCAGCTTTCTTTATTGCAGAGTTCCGCTGCTTTTGCGGATAGCGTGTTTATGGCTCTTGCGATCCATTACAGGTCTGAGGATCGTGCAGCGGGCCTTCATCTGCCCTGGCCTACAGCCAGGGCCTATTTGGCTATTTGCCTAGTTCGGCCTGTGGGACCAGGCCGTGGCCTGACCCCACAGGCCGTGTGCTGTTCTAGTCCTGCCCGATACCACTGTCGGTGCCACGCCAGTCCAGTCCAGTCAGTCAGTCCCCTTGGGGTATACCCTTGCAGTTGTCTGTTTTTTGTCATTCTTCACTTTTGCAGATCTTGGAGTACGTGCATGTGGAGTCTGCGTCGGAGCTGCGCTGTCCCTTCCAGCTCCATCTCTACCTCCTCCTTCGTCCACCCTTATTCTCCATCCTGTCAGACCGCCATCCCGGCGGGTCCGACACAGTGTTTGTGTGTGTGTGTATGAGAGAGAGAGAGAGAGAGAGAGAGAGAGAGAGAGAGAGAGAGAGAGAGAGAGAGAGAAAGAGAATGTTCCATCGATAGGGCTGGCCTCACGCTACTTCCATCGATAGAATTACAAAAATCGAATGAATCTTCCGTTACAACATAAAAATATATACTACTACACTCG